CGGTCTCCTAGACTTTTCGGATCTGAATTATAAGTTCAGGACAAATTCCGCCCACGTTGGTGTACGCCCCACCCACGATAGCAGTTGACCTCCTTTCCATTGACGGACTCGATTTCTTAGCTGGATTCTATCCACTCCATAGTCGATGACTTTGGAATTCTCTTTCTTCGTCAACCATTATTCGCTTTTCCCGGTCTCTGGACTGCTTCTTGACCGATTTATAAATCTCTTCGCAAACAGCCTATTTCGGTGCAGCCCCACCCATCTTTTTCTTCCTTGCCTCCCACGTTTGCCGATCTTTAGAACTCCTTAGAAATACATAATAAGTCCGGCAACAAACTCCAGCAACTTTGGTGCGTGCTACGCCCACCAATAGCATTTGCCCTCCTTTCCTTTGCCAACCCCTACCCCCTTTTCCCCGGTCTCTGGGACTTTTTGGAACCGAAAAGTTTTTGACAAACTGCGCCCACTTTGGTGCGTGCTCCGCCCCCAATGACAACTGACTTCAGAGTCAGACTTGATCCACTTTTCTCCTGGTCTCCAGGACTTCTTGGAACCGAGTTATGAATTTTTGTCGCAAACTCCGCCCACTTTGATCATGCCCCGCCCACCGCCGACAGTTGACCTCCACTCCTCCACCCATCTCTATCCACCTTTTTCCGGCTCTAAGACTTCTGCCCGAATTATGAGGACTTGTAGAAAATGCTGTACACTTCAGAGCGCGCTCCGCCCATTGTGGGCGGGCCTCCGCCTCGTCATGTATGCTGGGATTACCTTAGACATTGCTTCCCTGCACCAATTTTTTTCTGCTCTGTAGGCCTTCTCCTAACCGAGTTATGAATTTTTTTGTTAAGCACTGCTTTTTTGAGAACGCCCCGCCCACCCGGGTTAGTTCTCCTTAGTTCGATCTGACTTACCAATGCACACCTTTACCTACGTTTTTCTCCCAGTTTCGAGGCTTTTTTGGTATAGTTTTCAAAATCCTGGTCGCCAGCGTCACTCATTTCGATGCACGCCAGTAGATTAGCTCTGGAGTTGTCGAGGGAAAAAATTTGATGACTTCGAATATCAGCTGTCTTGCCTTTTTCGAATGATAATTGGGCTTAAGTGGTGATTAATTAAACAGTCAATTGAGAAAGGTG